CAGTTTTGTTTTTGGAATTAAAGTTGATTTAGTTCATTAGCCAAATTAAGTTTAAAGAGACTAATTTATAGAGACTAGTACTCTAGTCTCTAGGGTGGAGACTTTTTCACAGTTCTTGTCTCATAATTCATAGTAAGTTACAGTTTCTGCCCTCCTGCCCTGTATCTGCACTTCAGAACACAGTATCTCAAAGTTTATTCATTATTTAGTAACTTTAGAGGTCTCTCACCATCACCTCAGATATGAGCAGCCTTTATGTAGACCTACATAATTGATCTGATCTATTTCACCATGATGGAATAGGATGGTTAAAGTGACATGAATGCAAAAACTATGCAAAGTGATCTCAACAATCAATGAAAAAAAATAAATGTCCCAGGACCTTCACAATTTTTTTTTCTTAAAAATTAAAAACTTTCTTACTGTTGATAATAAAAGTATAGGAAGACAGAATAAGCAAAGCCAATATTTATTTATTACATTATAATTTTAAACATTAGAAACAATGAGAATTTAAGTGTGTTATTTCTTTTTTAAAGACAAGCCATTGTTTATTGAGGATAAGTGGAAGTTTGAAGAGCATTTCCCTTCTTATCATTATATATTACAATAGAGAATGAGCTTTTTTTCTCTAACAATAAGTTGTCATGCTTTTTTGTAAGTGGGGATCCACTTCTAAGTTTTACCCTTTGAATGTCCAATGTGGTGAAATGCCTCTGAGAGTTCTTCTACTGCATTGGTTTTTGTTGGTGTTACTTTCTCTGGGATCTCTACATCCTATTCATGAGTATGTTTCTCATTGGTGTCGATAACCCAACATAAGTTCTCTCTTCTGGCCATCCCTACAACAGTGGCAGTGTCAACATTCCCACAGTTAACATTTCTTCTCTAAATCCATTTATGTTCTACTTGATTCTCATTTTCAGCATTTCTTTTCATTTATTTATGGTACTTTCATCTCTATGGATCAATGTCATTTTTTGATTACCTATTTTTGTAAAATACCATGAGGATTCATCACTGGAAGACAAGGCAGCAATACAACCACACATTATGCAGAAAAAAAAACAGTGTGCAGCGAATAATAACTGACAGACTTTAAAATAACCCATATGATCGGTCACTGGTCATGATGTATGTCTATTATTTACATAATGATTGACAGACTGAAGAGCTAGCAAAGTTTGTACTTTATATAATTACCAGTATATAATACATGGTGGTAACTGAAATTTGGACCATATTATTGAGAGACTGGTGTGTTATTTCACTAAACTCTGATAACTGAAATTCATACATATCTAAACATGCAAAGCAAGAAGTGTCTCTATATTTTTATATGACAATATGCAAGTATTTATGCATTAAAAGTATCTTTAAATATGACAGAACTTCTTCCAAAATATTTTAAGGCAGATGGTCCTAAAATTTCATTTTGATTTTAAGAATTCTTATTCATTCCTCTGAAAATTGTCAAGCAGCTGTGGTTGGACAGCAACCTGGAACTTCAAAGCATATGACAGCAGCCACCTTTCCTGACCAACTGCTTCTTGGCCACCATCAACATCAAATAAATATGTTCTATGTAAACCAGGGTTAGGGCATTTCTTTCCTTCTTCAAATAAAGAGATTTCAGTTGCCTTAAATCTGCAAAATACTATTTAACTTATTAAATTTACCATGAGAAAATGCAGTTAATGATCATCAATGCACATAACACATCAATGATATTTTATTTATGATTAAAATAATGAAATTTTACTACATAACATTGAACTTTATGGTCTTGAAACAGCAAAATGCAACATAATAATGATTGATTGCTTTCCAGTTCTATCTTCCCTGCTCTCTCTAATTAATCAGAGAAACTACTACAGAATATTGGGAAAAACTCAGGTAGACTGTCAGAGAGGTAAGAGGGCCCTTGGTTTGTAGATGTATGGCTTTCTACAGCATCAGATTCTGCTGTTTGCTTATTTTCATGTCATTCTTGTCTTCTTTTTGATGATATCTCTGAAGCATCTGGATCATAGAGCATCTGGATCATACATGAGCTAAGTGTCAAAAATAAGAAATGATGAGAACATCCATGTTAGATTGCAACATGGGGCAAACTAGAAACAGCATATTGGGGGTGGAGAGTTTGGAAGGAATTACAAGGTTATAATTCCTAGGGAATCAATTAAGATACCATGATGGATGGAAGAGTATTTCTACCATAAGTACAATTCTTTTTTTTTTTTT